CAAGTGAATATATACGTTTGAATCATCATTTAAGAGTGGTATCTGTTACAGCTATTACTATAATTTTTTCGAGCTTATGCACATTTTTTCTAGATCATGGTGTGCAGCGAAATCAAAGAATCTCTGCTGAAAGTAGCAGTCGAACAATGGGTTATGCTAGACGTTTCCTGGTGCGTGAACGAGACCAGTCGAGAAATGAAGCATTATTTGGTGCCCCTCCCGGTTTCAGAAGGCTGGAAAATGTCGAAGCTTCAAATGTAATTGAACTCCCTGTTGCCGGAGTTGCTGCATGTTCTGCTAGCAACTACAATGCTAATGCAGCAAATTTTTCAAATTCCGATACAGCAGATGCAACAGCTTCGAGTATTGATGTGCATCCTGTTCTAGATATAAGCGGTGGTGCATACACTACGCAGAGTAGTTCGCAGGAAGCTTTAGTCGAAAGTATTGAGGAACTTGAAAGACAAATGGAACGAAGCGGTAACAATGAAGCCAAAAAATCGCTGAAATACTGCACTTTGTTTACAGCTCTGGCTAAACCATCATGTTTGCCGGTGTTGAAAATCGAAAGGGTTAGATCGACAAACGACGGTGAAACGAAGCAGTCATGTGCACTAACTTCTGATGATGATGATGATTACAGAACCAGTGATGAAATTCCACCGCTTCGTTTAATTATGAGGATCGGTCGGTCTTTACGATGCACGTACAAGCAGCGTAACCAAAACATCGTACAACAGCAATCTTATCACGTGGCAGATGACTTCAATGATTGGTGGTCGTCACAGTTTAGTGAACATTTACGTGCAGAATCAGCAACACGTGTGAATCGAGCAAATATTGATGTTACACATGAAGTATTTAATTTTTATTGCTTTATCTGGTTTTTCCCTAAATATCTATGTTTCATACAAAATAAATACTTTTGGCATACGAATGTATTTTTTTATATTTAGTACTTCATTTTCTTTTTTTTTTTTAAATATTGTTGCAACTAAATCTATAATTTTGAAACTAAATAAATGCATAATCATAAGCCCAGTATTTTTTGAGATACTGGATACATCGCTCGTAACATCCGACCGATCGATAGTTTCACGTGGTGAAGTTGCTTTAAATCGTGCAATAGAAGCGTTACGAAGATTGGATTCACGTCATACTCACAGTAGCCGACTTCCTGTAGCGCATGATGTCATCACACAAACCAACACTCCTGTTTATATGGTTCGTTTTTGTGTTTCTTTCCTAAAGCCCTTAATAGTTAGTTTCACATCAACTTCAAACTAGAACTTTTGACAGAAAAATCGGCACTCATTTTCTTTGATGCCACGCTGTCGGATGTCCGCGTAATCGTTAGAACTCAGTTTCAACAATTTCTTTTTACTCATGTCCAGCAGATTTTGGCCTTTTCCGTCAGAGAACTTTTCCTGTATTTACTTTGAAAGTGGGGAATGGGAAAAATTAGGCATTATGGAAGCATGAAGCGTATCTTAGAAGATTGAAGTAAGCCAAAAAAATGCTAGCGCATGTTGATAGGCATGGGCAATACTTCAATGGTAAGAATTACTGAAGTCAATTGAAAAGAACAATTTAACAAATTGGCATATGTTTCTAAGAGACGATTTCCTCGGTTTCTCGGTTGTAAAGATGCATTACTGAGTGGCAGGACCGTGCTGCACATACAAAAACATTTTGATCTTCCATCTTTGTCTAGTTCTAGTCATTGTAATTTATAACATTTTTAGAGTGAAGATATCGTTCTTGCGTTCATAACAGGTTAGATATTTAGAGGATTCGGAAATTATTCATCACATATTGTAGTTCAGTTTGTTTGGTTATATACGGGTGCCCTCATGCAGATTCTTAGTTCACTAAGCAGTACCTTTTTTTCGGCCTCTAATTCTGGGCGGATGTGATTGCACAGGAAGTTACTGTTTTCATTGAAGCGTCTAGTTTGAATATTAAGCAATTAAAGATATTACTCGATTCGTGAAAATGTGTAAATGCATTATTCTTAAATGGAAAATTGCCATGAAAAAACGTTGTTTTAGGGTTTGATTCGTCGAGAGGAACACATGACTCCAAATTCTCACTTGTCTTTCAATTCGCATTTTAACAATCTTTCATCAGGTGGACGTTTGAGCAGTATTCCTACACCTAATATACTGAGCGAGATGAAAGCACGGAAATCTGTGAAAGTGCAAGTAAAAGGAAATGGACAACATGATGGTGATTGCAGTGATTTCATCAACGAAGTTTTCAAAGTATTTACATGTTATTAGTTTTTTAATTTTTCTGGCTACTGCTTGGAAATCATGTTTCCACTTTGATTTTTTTTTCTGCGAGATTAGTCAAATTTTAAATGAATAGTAATGTGGCTTCTTGTTTGAGGCTCCAGAAATTGATGCATTGTTGGATGTCAAATATGTCGTAAAAAAGCGCTATTACAAACCATACGATCTGAAAACGGTAACTTTTTAATAAGTCTGATAGTTTATTATTTGACGAGTTTTTTTTAGAAGCTCCTTATGTTGACTGACATTAGGAGAATCAAGCAATTTACAGAAAAGCTACATGAAGAGTTTCCGATGTTCCTTCCACCAATCACATGTTCATTCTTATGAATGGCGACCTTGTTGTGTTGTTTACATATAGTTATCGCATTTGTAGGATGAGCAAAAGGAAGCGGTAATGATTCCATGGTTAGAAGAACAAGATGCGTTGGACCTTTCAGTAGATATGTCTGACGCAAAACTTGATGACGAAATAATTGACCTTCTTAGACAAATCCCGGAGTTTGCAGATGATGGTTTGTTTATTCCCAAGTTTTTAATATTTGTCTAAAATTCTAAATATACAGTCAACAGTGTTGCTTTAACTGCTTTAGAGATAAAAGAGAAGCAGTGGCTTAAGTAGATCTTTCGAAGTTTGAATAATATTGTTCTATTGATTTATCAATAATGCAATAATACTGAATAGTGATTTTGTGATTAAAGTAGGCTAATCTGTTTCGAGTCCTTATTTGTCTTTTGACCAATTTAGTAAATCATTTGCAAAAAAATTTAATTTCATTGTAGAATTGACTCTTGGTGGGAAACTTATAAAAGATGAATGCTATTCTGAAGTCGGATCAAACAGTGAAGCGACAATGTTTGATTCGGAAAAAGGATCTGATGAAGAACTGCTAATTAAGAAATGTGAAAGCGCTGATCTGAAGCGTCCGCAAGGAGTGTTCACTGTTACGTAAGTATCCTTCATATTTTATGCTGAGAATCAATTTATCAATATATGTAGTGATTGTCAAGAAAAAAATATTTTAAGAGGTATGTTTGGTGCCAGTTCAAATGAGCGGAACGAATTTGAAGCGGATTACTGGAAAGATTATCGATTTCTTCGCAATCGTAGGAGTGTTTTTGTTTTAAAAAAGTATGCCTTTTTTCTTTACCATGAAGTTTTTCCACTGTAAAGTATTCATAGAAATTAAGTAAAAATTTTGGCAATCGACGTGGTTTTGATTTTTTTTTTTTTAATGATATATCTAGGAAATTTAATTCACTTTCAGTTATAGGAGTACTGATGTATTATCGGAGTGTACGCTTGCACCCATGGATCACCGTTTGATAAAGCAGTTGATATTCGGGAGGCTGGATATTCCAATATCAGTTTTTAACAGGGCACATTATCTTCCAGAAATTTTCATGCGTATTATGCGTACCAATCTTCGCATCCTTTATTTGTCACGGGAAAGAGAAGAATTTCTGGAAGAAAATATGGGAAGGAATTTTCTGTTTACAAGTAGAAAGGAAAACGATATTTAATTCAAATTCCGATCAGAATGCAGGACATCCTTTTTAGAAAAGCAGTATAGACTTTTTTCTTTAAAGTTATATCATTAGTAAAACGAGTGATTTTTATCTGTAATGGGACTAACATTTAAATTTTCAGGAAGAGGTTTTACCAGCATCGGAGAATGAGGTAAATGTGCAGTACGATACATGGATCGTTAAAGATGAATGCGATGACATGAACACACCACTTGAAATTCCTCCTGAACTATGGTATTTCCTTGATCTAGCTAGCTTTTTTGATCCATAATTGTCCTTCATGAACAAAAGTGGTTTTATCTATAATGCTTTAATTCATTTTTGAATCCTCAGCTGTGTCCACTTTCGCTGATAAGGTTTTAAATGATTTTAACTGACATTTCGAAAACTTTAATCCTCTTGAAGTTATTGTTATTTGTAACGTATTACGAAAGGCTACTGACTTTTGAAGGGAGACCTTGCAATTCTAGAAGTTTTTGATCAAGTCCTTCATATTTTCTGTAATATATATATATAACCTTATTATGCTTGTGTTTGATGCGTTGTCTTTAAAGTACCATGTACTTGAGCTTAACCGCTTCTCAACTTATCAATTTGTATTTATTGCTGTAGTCAAAATCGGCCTATAAATTCTTTTTACGTCTTGATTAATAATGGCAGTCCATAAATTATCTGGAGTTTTTTAGATTTTTTTCTAGCCGGACTAGGAAAAGTATTTTAGAAATGTGTATGTCTGCAACAATATTTTGGCAGTCAGTTGTTATTCGGAATCCCGGAATAATATGAACTTCGTAGTATAGTATTCGTAGTTATCGATAAGATTCGTCGTCTTAACTTAGTGCGATGTGACACTAAATACTGAAGTGTGAGTGTTACTTCGCTACTGGCTTAAGAAATTTTATTTAAAGTAGGTCAAGAAATATTTAATATTGCTGCTCTTAGAATCTACATTTTAGATTATGAATTAGAGAGGAGCATTGTTGTCGAGATAAAAGAAAGCTTTACAACAAATGCACCTACCTGGAGTTGATAATGTTCGTATTCCTGACAAGTGCTTTTTTTCCCAAACTATCGGAATTATCACTTTTTGTCGTAAGTCATTATTAACTGTTCAGCTATTTTTTTCCAGGGATTGATTAAAGCCGAACTGGATAGAATATTTGAGGTTTGGTGAGATTATCGGTGATCGTTAATTTTTCGGCCTTGAAATTGTAACTTTATTCTCAGATCAAATGACCGCCATACTATCTCTTATAAGCTGCTTGCAAAGAGAAAAATAGCTTGAACAAGTTAATTTGAAGGCTATACCATGAATGGTAGAGTTTCTCCGAAATGCTGTTGTGTTATCGAGATGTGTATCAAAATCTCGAGCAAATTCGATAAGTCCCTCTTTAAGAAAAATATAATAGTGATTCTTTGGTATTGAGTAGTTCAGAACAATTTACACATATTTTGTTCCGCCAAACTTTTTACGGTGTTTATGAACAAAACACTAATTACTCATCGTATTTCGTGTCCTTATTTTTGCTAACATGTGTTTCATCTATTGGATTCATTTATACCATGCTTTATTTTCACTTCCATAACAGGAAGCTTTTTTCCCATATTATGTGAACCATTTTAGACGAAATTCGCATAACATTAAAAATTGTACTAGCTCATGTATATGAAGAAATGGGAAAATGAGCTTAGTGGGCACAGAGATCTTCAGGAGTTTGTAGCAAAACCAGAAAGGTTAATGAAAACAAAGTTGGGTCGAAATGAATAGAAACACATAAAATGCTCATCTTAATCTGAAGAAATAAACATTACCATTCTTGAATTATACATCTACTCACTACAGTAATGATTTCGTGAAAATAGGTTCCAGTTATTGTGCTTGGTAAGGCTAATTTGCGGTAAAAACGACGTTAATTAAATCCACTTTTTTTAAAAAGGTCGACGCTTTTCCCTTTCAGGTTTCTCACTTTTCGCATAGTATAAGAGTTCAAAACTAGTCAAATAAAATAACCAATATGAAGAGGTAAATAATATATACTTAGATCAATTCTGATGTTTACGATTCTGAAGCTACTTTGATATGTCCTGTTTTTTTTCAAAACTTCGTATACGGAATTCCGAAATTCATCAATGTCGTACAAAGTGGAATTCCTTCCAGGAGTCGTCCCTACCGATTCTTTTGCTCCTGAATCACTGTGATCAGGATTCAGGAATCACGGCAAAACAGTGCTTACTTCTCTTCCCACAACAGTTACTTGAAATGGACCAGAATTTACTAGTATTTGACGCAGTTAAACATAAAATTATGCTTGATATTTGTCGTGCGATAGATCTAATAGTTCATATCGAAATTTGAAAGTAAAACTATACCGGAGAGATCAATGGAATGAACATTTATCAAGGAAAATAGCAGGGAACTTCCAACCTTTCTCCTTTTTTCAAGCATTCATTAAAGCATCTAATGCATCGTTTGATTCAATCTCATTCTTGTCCTTTCTCCAGTTAAACCATATGGGAATAAAAACTCAACAATTACCAAAAATCAATTATAGGGTACTTACACGCGCACACGTGCATAGACATATATACATAGGTATAGAAAACCTATATCTGGGATAATGAAAATTTACCTGCACTTGTGTGAATAAAATACGTTTTTTTCAAAAAATAAAAATAAACACAGTGTTGGAAAGGAGGAAGAGTGAAAACAGACTGGCATATCTTCCCACACATAGAGAACCGGTTTGCTTGTACAAAATTGAGCAGAAATGAGAATGAAAATCGAGGACCACACGTTTACAATATGAACATCATAACGTCGTTATACATGGGAACAAAAGGATACAAGAGTAAATGACAATGCGGAAAGTAAAAAACATTTTTTCTTCACAAGAAGTAATTTACAGCCATAATACGAAATAATTTACACATAGACATATATTTTATATCGCCTCTCAGTGAAAGTAACACAAGAACATTACCCTATTGAATAAATCAATCAAACAACTTTGTATGCTTTACAGATCCCTCTAAATGTCATATCAAGACTAAATGTGAAATGTCAAAACAACGTCCGCGAAATCAAACTATTAAGTCAGGAAAAGGCTGGAGTAATCCTGAAAAATAGAACCGTTCTAAGTCACTAAAATACATGCAGCTCGTATGAAAAAACCTTAATACTAATATTCGTTCGTCAACAAAGGGAGGACAGATACTTTTTAAGGAGCAAGTATTACGAATTTTTGCAAGTATATCCACGTTAAGGAAGTGCCAAAAATGATAGATCTCTTCTTTTGGAGATGTGTGATGTGAAATAAAAAAAAAGATTTCAATATTTGGGAAAAACTACGAGAAAAAACGCCTTAAAACTTCCCTCGAGTAATGCAATAGATTTAAAATGAAAGACATTAGCGCATAGTTCAGAAATGCCAAATGAAATCCAAAATGACTGAAATGACCTACATCCATAATTTTCGAAATACAATACGATCTATGAATAAGCACGAAGTTCAAAATTTAAAGAATTTTTGAGCACAAAATTCAATTCGTAGTAATGAAATATCTTTTTATATAAATGAATCAGTTTATGGGTGAAAAGCAAATAACACTGTCACAAACTGAACTTTTCTCCGATAATCAGTCTTTCTTAGCAATAGGTGGACGAGTTGGTGGAAGGGCTGGACGAGCAAACTGACCAAGACCTATATGTGCCAATTCCGCTGATTCGTTCTGAAATAAAACTTAAATTTTCAAGAAACTTCGAAAAAATGGAAAATGAGATAAGATTTATATCATACTATAATCGCTGCTATCGAAATTCAAACTATTCTGAGAGTGCTCAGATTAGTTTCTGAACATCGCAACTGTCATCTCAAAACTGTTGCAAAAAGATGCGAAAAATGAATGGAATAAGCATCGTGCAAAATTTTTGCTTCCATATAATACTACTCTAGTATCACCCGTTTAAAACGGATTTACCCAAAAAAAAAAAAAAAAACTAATCGGTAGTACACACCGAATCTTCATTTGAAGCTGATGAAATCGAACCAGGATATGCCGATATTGTCTTCGTTGACTCTTCATTAGAACGCTCCCCATCTTCTAAGATAATAAACGGAACTTTTTTTGTAGAAAGCAGATTTTAAGTTTAATTCAGTAATTTAAACATATCATATCACTTACCATTTCGAGGAGAGAGGCGTTCATTAATGAAGAAATTTGCATCCATGTTCATATCACCATCTGTATCTGCCGCCTCCGAACCTTCTTCCATTCTATCACCTAAAAACATAAAGTATATAAATAACTTGATATAATATCCTGCTGAGTTTGTTCATAAAAATAATGTATGAGTATATCGGCAATCTTGTTAACACTTTATATTTTAGGAATAATAAATTATACCCTGTGAGTCCGAACGTCCAGATGACACACGCTCATTGTGCCAAGGGAATAGACAAACATCTGCATTTGGAATTGTGACAGCACTTGCTGTAACGTCTCTTATGAAATTTTAAGTATGAATAAACTAAGAAATGAATACTATTAGTCCTATCCAAAATAACTACAGACTGGGAACATTATGCCCAAAACCAACTTACGACTAGAAGCATCTGTAGCATAAGTGGGTGTTGGTGTCATGCTTTTCGGAACAGACATTCGGTTAAGAAGTGCCGCCATACAATTATCCTCATCGTTCTCACGTGTTGTTTCCGAAGCGGCGAATGCACTGCAGAAAATTATAGCATAGAAGTTACAAACATAACAGACCAAAATTTTCAAAATTTAAAATATTCATATGAATTAAGAGGGATACGGTCAACATGTTCATCTTGGTAAGCACGTTTTGCCCGAACGAAAAGGTTGCTCATCAAACTACTCCATCAACACTCATACCTCTTCCTTTTCTTTCCTTATCCCTTTTTCCTCCTTTATATGAATCACTTTTTGAATTTTTTTTTTTTTTTGGATATATTATAGAATCCTCTTACCGACAGGTTTCAAGACAACGTGCCAGATCAGTTTCCAACGCCATACGTGAGCGACGATTATTGGCACGCGACTCAGCCGACTTCTCACGAATGGCCAACAAATCAGCAACGTCTAAAACAATATTTATGAATCATTCATTTTTTTAATAGAATAGACTTTACATGTGTGACGGTCAGATACTTAACATCCTAGAATACACTGCAAATTAAGAAGAGCATTAGAATTGGAACGAACACTTTGTTTCTTGTGCACTCATTTGTTGTTGCAAATTGGAGATTGTTCCCTTGAGATTTGCGATAACGCTACGCTGGCGACTGCATTCTTCACGTAGTTTACGAGCTTCTGTTTCAGCTCTTGTCGAGCGACGCTCTCCAGTATCATTCATTCTATCAAATAAAATGAGTTAAGTAAAAATTTTCGCCGTAATTCCTTTAAATAAAATAAATGGAAAAAGTTGAAACAAAAGATTAAGTAAACTCACTCGTGAGATGGAAACTCATTTGCTGAAGAGGATGGCGAATGATCGTCCGATAAACTAGCCTGATCCAAGCGAGCCTGCATACGTCTGGAAAAATAAATCGCTGAATGAAACCCTTTTTAAACTCTTCATGCTGTAAAATGCTGTAAAATCAGAAAAAAAAAAGAAAAAAGGCTGGGAGAAATACGGACCTTTTTTCAGCCTCCAACTGATCCATCCGCTTACCCAAAGTGTTAAACAAAGATTCTTGTTCATGTTCAAGTGCATTTTCAAGATCGACTTTTTCGCGACGCAACTGCTCGAGTGCCTGCAATAAATATTATAATCCATCAGCTCCAAAGATAATACTGAACTAAAAACAATGCGTGAGTTAAAGACATGAGCGTTCGGAAATTTACCGTGTGGTTTGCACTAATTTCCGCCTCTAGTTTACGAATTTTCACAAGCAGTGTGTCGACGACCCAACTCTGCTCTGCTTCAACCTGCCCAGCCAGTTCATCTCGTTCATTTTGTAACTGAAATAGACATATTCAAGAGTAACTGGTAACCAAGCTGTTCCAGAAATATGAGTCGGCACACATTCTGTATCACTTAATAACCTGTGCTATAAAATTCGAAAACAATACTTCCACTTTTTCAGAAACACTTCAGTATATATAGGAAAGAGATAAGTATATAGGGTAGAGAGATAAGTTCTTGCAACTCATCCGTTTCTCTTTAATTAGCATACAGTGAAAAATCATAAGCAATTTACTTATGTTACAAAAAAGATTTTTGCACACTAGGAACTTAGAAATAACTCAATAAATCATTTTGCTGTATAGTCAATTGATATTGCTTGTGTTAACTTGTTAAACAAATAAATTACACAACGTTACTTTGCATAAATGCTGAGACTATTTTCATGATGGAATGTTTTGCATAATATGAAATGAGTCTTCATTTATTTCTATAAAAAACTAACTTGAGAAAGTTTGCGCGTCAAGTCGTTTGTTAAAAATTCCTCCTCCTGTTCATACTTCAGAGCCAGAGCTTCCTTATCATTCTTCAATTTCTGAATGCGCTTCAGTAGCATGTTGGATATAAATTCCTCCTCCTGTTCAGCCTTGGCGTGCTAGAAATTTCAAAGTTTAAGCGCACAGATGGGTTATACACAGGCAGATTCACACAGAGTAGTATCAAGAGCTGGCAGTAAAATTATAAAAAAAACATAAATAAAAAGAGAAAGGAACACGAACCAAGCGAACGCTTTTTTCTCTAATGGTTTTATTTAACTGCTGCAGCGATTCATTGCGAGCACGCAGACCCAACACCTCTTCCTTAAACAAACTATTGTTAAAACGATTTTGAAAAAAAAGCCCAAATGTTTCTAATGAACAAGATTATTTAATTTCAATACTTCATTCCCCAAAATTAAATTAGCCGAATCTGGACATGGTGATCAAATTAAATAAGCTGATTCATTACCAAAAAGATGTTAGAAGATAATTGTGAATTACTGTACTTCTTTGAATATTAATTGATTCATCTAGTTATTCCTTGCATTTTTCTTTTTCAAGTTTTAGAACCAATAATGCCCAAAAAGACTTCTTGAATTACTCAAATTTCTTCAACAGTAATTTGTTATATGTTTATTAATTTACTTCAATGCGAGTTTTTTCTCGCAAGAGAAAGACTGCTTTCCTCAACACATCATCGTATTTTACAGAAGAATGAGGGATGCGTTCTTCATAAAGAGAGATCAATTCCTGGTCGGAGATCACATCAACCGTCACAACTTCCTGAATTGAATGATGATTAGTACTTAGTTGAAAAGTCCGACTTCTGATAGAAATCCAAAGTCACATAAGAAAAATAAAACTCGGAAAAATTTTGCAAATCAGAAAATTCAATAGAAGAAATTCAAGCTACTCACCACTGAAGAAGACAGCTGCGGTGAAAGCTTCGCGGTTACTTTAGCAAGTTCAGAATCTTCACGACCAGCTAGAAGATCTTAAATCTCAAAGCGAATAAAATTTAAAATGTCGTAAATTAGCTTAGTTATTAGCAGTTTTGTCATTTAAGACAGTACACAAAAAAAAAAGAAAAAAAACGGACTTGGTTTATGTGCAACATGCATGGCCATAATTATTTCCTCACTGAGTAAGCCAAAATAAACAAAATATACCTTTTGAACAGCGAGCATGCTTATCACGCGAACCATCTGAATTGAAAGATGCGCGCTCTGCGGGCACAGCAGATTGCAGCTTGAATGACTGACCATTTGTTAGACCCGTGCTACTAGACATCTGAATAAAAGTACAGATAATATGCTAGCAAAGTGAGTCAGAAAATTTATACTAAATACAAATAAATTTAGAGCAGTCAAGAATATCGAAAAATGTATCTGTTCAAGATAAAGGAAATGAGAGCAACTGAAAGATCACAGTCACCGAAAACTTCGACTAATAAACTTTATACAATTAGAGCGTGAATTAGAAAAAAGCACACTATTTGCCATTAAATACATTTTAAAGCGGATGCTTTCACCATACTACTTATCAAATGAGTTTTGGATTAGCATGCAGACAGAAAACCACGTATTTCATCAAGAAAAAGATCGTTTTCCTTTCAGAAAAGTTCCGCAAATACTGAGAGCAATTAAAGTGCATCCCAACAACATAATCTGTATAACTGCAAAATCTCTCGGAATTTTTTCTACGACCATTTGCCAGAAGCTTGGAATGGCTAATAAAAGTGATTCTCATATGCTTATTTTAAATTCATTATAAATAAGACCTCGAAAAAAAATTTGGGTCCTGGAAAATTTTATTATGGAAGAGATATAATCTGAAAGATTCTTCAGTTTTACACATCGTTTGAAGACCTGATTAATATCACTCATTTCCCTAGTACTCGATTCAGAACTTTTAGATAAAATTTATTAAACTAGTAATTATATCACGTTGGTAGCAAAGATCTTATTAAGTTGAACGATGACAACTTTGAACAACAGCATAACTTTAAATCAACCTTATTTTTTCCAAGAGTTTTTGCAACAATATAATTCAGCTACCTGAACAGAAAATTTAATTCTTGGGAGTTCTAAAACAAGAATTCTTACAAACAGAAGTCGATCTTTGAACGAAACATTTAGAATTATCAATTCCCAGATATTATAAAAGGAAAGCCTATAACCCGACAACCTGAACTTGCTTATCCGAAGTACAGAATAAACAAAGACGCGAGTGCTCAAGAAGCTCTATCTAGAAACAGTGAACCAGTCAGCAGGAAAAACATCAATTTAATATAGTACAGGTTCCGGACCAAACAACATACATACCACTTTACATTATGTTTCATCGGCTAAATTAGTAACTAATTTTTCAGGAAATGAACTGCAAAAATACTAAAGTTTGTCTAAAATATCAACAGAAACAGTATTATTCTCTTCCTGATGATCTGAAGATAACATGGTCAGATACTATGGATAACCAATGTCAAGACTTACTCTCAACGTCTCCAACTAGTCCATATAATGTAGGCAGCGCAGCACTCGAAACTCGCCCTTTCTTGGGCAATAATTAACCACCCAACTCTTTCAAAAATCGTCCACCAACGAACGAGGGATGAAGTTTCCGCTATTGGATGCTTCGTCCACACGTCCCCCAACACAAACCGGCTAGTAAGTTCTCATCTTTTTATGTGAGGAATAATTGGGCTTTGTGAAAGGATTCCGGCTGATCATTGCATCATGGACTACGCTGAAGTTTTATTTGTGTTATTAAAACCTTGATTTTGAATACTTAATAATGGATGTTGTCAAATAGATGCAGGATAATGAACAAATGATTATGTGACGTGTTGCCAACAGTGAAGCAAATAAAGAACCCAATTTTTTGAGAAGTGAATAAGAGAGGAATCATTATTGTTCGGAGCGCAAGCATTGCTACGTACCTTCATAATTTAATGTTCGGAGTTCTCTTGAATAAGGTTGGGACGATTTTCAAGACAATCAGAAGATCTTTCATATTTCCAAAAGAAGTGTTATGCAAGAAGAAAAAAAGCGTTGATTCTGGAAAATCCAACTTTTTTTTGGTCTAAAGTACCTAATTCACTTTTGAATTATCCTTTTCTTGGTTATTGTTCCTCAGTCCTTACATGCACTTTTGGGGATTTTATATAGTTAGACTTAATTTTCAATGTAAAAACATATGATTGCAGTGGAATCAACTTATTAAGCCTGTTGCACGCTAATTGAAAAAATTTTGTCTTGCATCAGATAAATTATTTGTGCAAGATGGAAATCGCAGATTGATGAATGACTTTTTCAGCTCTAATTCTAACAGTTTCCACGGATAAATTTTTTAAAGAACCCAGTTCCTTTTCCTGGTTACTGTTTCTCACCCCTTAGATAATGCAGAAGAAATGTGCAGGGTTGGGTATTGTTTAGTTGATTCCATTTTGTTAGTAAGCAAAAATACTATAATTTTGTACGAACATAGCGTTTCGGTGCACTTTGCGTATTTGAAGTGGAAATTTCATGACTAACCAGTACTTTGCACATCACAGAATTGTATTCAATAAATGCTAAATGAACACAAGAAATGCTGGAATCAAAAATGTTTTGTTCTGCCTGTTCCAAAAACATCCCTGCTGCACACCAAGTCATCCCTAATGATACGCATTCATTTCATCTTCGTTACTTTCACACTTCTCACTTTTTTAGATCGTTTCCAAGTCTAATTTCCTATTCTACTAGTAAAGTTAGAACATTAAACACTCTTTTGACAATTTCCTAGTCTTAATTTTCTAAATAATTCCACGTTTATTTTTAATTACAAAATGGTGAACAGCTGAGGACTTTCAGCGGGTTAAAGATTTTTGTATGATTGTTGCCAATCGAGAAAAGCTGTTCGAATTGTAACGATTTGTTAAGAAATTCAGCATAATGTTACCGTACGCCAAATTACAAAATCATCCCATGCCTTCAAAGTAAATTCGGATTTCCTAAGAGTCTTATGAAACTTGTATGTCGAACTGGTTGTCAACACATTCATTCATCTTTATATTACCCTTAAGATATCATTTTCTTTTCTAGATTTGACACACTAATTACATAGTGCATTTCCCATGTCAAGCTGATGGTAAAAGATCTCTAACAAATGTCCGAAAAATCGGATATTACTGGGAAGGCTAAATATTTTTCTGCTGCACAACAAGTAAGAGACAAGTTAAAACATCCAAAGATAAATAGAAGTAAGGGGATGACATATTTATATATTTGCTTTGATGAATGTTGAGAAAGCATTATTAGAGTGGAAAACGAAAGAAATGAAGGAAGTGATAACACGAAAAATATGCAAACATAAGAGCAGGAAGCATTGCTTTCGAAGAGAGCCACTAAATATCGTTTGAAAATCGGGAAGCCAACAAAAGTATACCTCCCGAATTCGCTCTTTAATGAAATGTGCTTATGAATTGGAATGCTATCATGACTGTTGAATCGAGTTCTTGCAGCAAGTAAGCAAAGATTCACGCTATGTACTGCTTCATTGCTCGTTTCATCATTTTTTTCCTATTAATTTACATATTAGCTAGGAAATGCACATCTTGGGTACAACCACAAATCGGCATCTATCCTGGCTTTCTCGACCTCTACAGTGCTAACAGAAATTATGGTTTGTTGCAATTTTTAGTAAAATTTATTGCTCCGATGGATTTTACATGAAACTCAAATTACGGTTCAGTTTATAACTGGGATTCATAAATCAAAAGGTTTTGGCTGCACCGATGAGCTCAGAAAGAAAATTTTTTTTTTTTTCAAAAACTTTTTAGTGAAAACTTGTTTTTCAAAAGCAGTTAATTGGAATTTTTAGATGCAAATCAACTTTGAAAATCACTTTACTAATTTACATGGTTTTTAGACTGAGTGCCTCTGGATCTGGGTTCGATAACTGGTCCTATAATTTTTAGCGTGCATCTGCTCAATTAGCTAACGAAAACGCTATTTTCATAGTTTGATATTTTATTGTCAATTATAAAAATTTCGTTCAATAGCTGAATTTTATTTCACTTTTAGTCAATAGCGGCGACTTAAGTACTGGGCAACCATATACACTTGGTATTCGTATGGCCAATACTGATCGGTTCGATTACTTGATACAATCCTGCACATATAATGATAAATACCATTTTATCGATGAGAATAGGTAATTAAGGTCACATTTGAATTTAAACTTTTATTCCAGATTTTCTTCTTAAGTTTTGAAATTCTCCCAATAATCTGACTGCATCTAAAATATTGATATCACATTCTTTCAAATAGGGTTTTTTTTCTTCCTTTTTAAAAAAAAATAAAAGTCAAACTTAATAAAATTATCTCGCTGAGAAATTTTAGGCCAAAGTACAGTGTAATCGTTTCGATTTTTTCATATTACTTTTAGACAAGTTGCAGCTGTCTGGTCTGCGACAAATTTTTCCTGCAGATGTGGGAAAATGATATGTACCGGTTGGGAGCAGTGAAACGTACGTTTATCCACTTTATGCCACCAGAGCCGCTCGCTCGTCTCGAGTGCAGCTTACGCATATTGCACTGTTGCGGTTGTGCTGAAGTAAATCTTTATTTAAGATCATCATAATTGCTTGAAGTTCAATGCATTAATTCTAGACGACAGTGTTTTTTTTGCAACGAAATGTCCAAAATATTTTCATTAGTATTGAGAAGCTGTACTACCTTTTTAGGTTTTAATGTTTCAGCAGCAAGGGAGGATTTTCTTAGATTTCTAATATCGTATAAAATAATTTATAACAGTTATCAAGAAACTCAGAGAAATTCTCCAAAAAAATAATTTATTAATAATTCAGCATTGTCTAATAATCCCCTTTTTTCTCTCACAATTTTTGATTTATTTTAAAAAGCTGATAAGTTATCTGCAAATAAAGGAAACAAAAGTTCTTCAAAGATATATGTATTGGAATTCAGACAATAAGATTTCCAAACGATTTGTGAAAATGCATGAATGGGCATAACTGCATCCTATGGCTAAAATATCATATCAGTGTCAAGCGAAAGCACAAGCCATAATTTCTTCTCTATTATAATTGATTTATAGTGAACATTAAAAATTTTTAAATCTACTCGATGCTTGAAATTTTGATTGCTTAAAAAATTTTCAGTATTTTTTTCTTTCTGCTATACTTTTTTTTTTCTTTTTCTTTCTTGCTGTTAAAAGTTTTAATTTTTTGTTTTTAGAGAGCTTGTGAAAGAAAAATTTTGTCGGTTTTGGTCACTTATCCACATCACGTGATTAACTTGGCAATCATTAATGAACAAGAAGTAGGAATCCTTGCCACTTCGGCAGCCAGTTGGCCGTGGTGGATTTGGTTCCTCATTCTTTTAGGACTTATCCTACTTCTTTGCTTATTACCTCTATTTTTGCTGTTATGTTCTCTACTATGCATGCGCAAAAGGAAGATATCAGATTCCAAAGCCACAGTTCCACCATCGAATTCAGCTAAAGTTTCAAATATTCTTGTTCGAGCAAAAGAAATGGAAACAAATGAAGCTTCAGAAGACAGCTTGAGAAGGCCATCGGTATTGCCACCACCACCACCATCTACTCGAATATTTCGCACTCCATCCGGTTCATCATGTGAAATTGCTCATTCGACTGCCAGCCAATCTCGGATTGCGGCTATCATCAGACAACAACAACCTCGGACATCCTGGGCAAAAAGCACTATGCGAAATGAGACGGAGTTGAGACCAACGTTAGGACCACAAATGGAAAGAGTAGGTGAGGAATTCGGAGAGGTAACGGGATCAGAAAGCAAATTCCATTCCAGTGCAGATAAGCAACACATCGCTCAATTCGATTCCGAAAGAGCTGTACACCAGCAAACTGCCTGTGAAGAGAAATTCTTCAAAAAAAGCGGTCGTCAAAACGAAACGCTTGAAGAAGGTTACGACCGTGCTCAGCTTACATATACTACACCTAAGAGACATTTCTTCCACTCCGAAGTTGTTTAATCTCTCTAACTATTATTTATGATCCAAATCCGGTCATGAATATTTCCAATAATATGTCTGAAAATTCCTAGTTTTTTGTTGCGGAGATGGAATAGAAGGATGTCAATAATAGACAGAATTATATTAATGGACGTAACCGAATTACTCTAAATAGTAGTTTACAAAAGTGAACTATACACTTGAAATACATAACACTAAATTTAGTTATCATATCAGAATAGTACTCATTCCTACAAATGCTGCCTGCCATTTGTTCATTTGTTCAATCATAATACTTCATTGTTCCCAAACAGTATTTATTCCTTCTAAACTTGTAAACACTGCCTATTTTTTTGCTGTCATACTTCATTTGCACTCAAATATGAATGCTGTAATGTAAGTTAAAAAAATTACTTTAACGAATGCCTTTCACATCTTACATGAACATACGGTATTTCACTGACATGGCGATCCTTAATAGAGTTTTCCAACACCTGGCTTAATCACTGCGGATTCCAGCCGAACAGAGTTTGTTTTTGCTTTTTTTTTCCTTTTTGTTTTTTAAATAATTTTCCAATTTATTTTTAAGCAATAATCACTTGAATCTATTTTGAGCAAATTCCAGGATTATGCATCACTCACTATCCATTTTTACGGACAGTTTTGGCCTTTCTAGATTGTCTAATTCAGGGTCTTTAATTTAATTCATGCCGCCCATGCAGCATGAAACTTTCAGTAGTGATAAAATCCAAAAATTTTTAAGGAATGTGCATTCAGTCTTTTTAGGAATTTACTAGTTATTTATGAAAATTAAGGAACAAAAACAAGGTTTTGTGGTAAAATTTTCAAAATCTTTGAAATCAGAGTTAAAACGAAAATAGTTCATTTAAATCTACTTGATTTTCATGCACAAACGATAACTCTTTCATGTACAAGAAGTGTAATGAGAAAATGACAGTGGCAATTGGTGTGTATTTTTAATTAATGATAAGAGGAACTCGAAAAAGGACAACAACCTTTGTCTCCGTCTTCCTCTCTTGTTCACCTCACCATAGCGTCAATCTTCCGAGCAGTTTGTTAAAATTTCATGACAATCCTTGCTCGTTAATAGAAAAAGATTCGTGATAATGCTCTGCTTTGGTGGCATTTGTTTTTTCATCATAACCATAATCTCATCATATAATTGATTAATTTTATTTATTTTCTCAAATTTTTAAAACTATTCGAAGAGTATGGTTCTCTACTGGGGCAACAAAAAAGTTACGCCTTTAAGTAGTTTGCTGAATGCGACAAACAAAATTCCAATTTAACAGTTGAAATGACATATGAATACTTCGCGAAAAAGGACTCATAATATCTAAAATTTTAGTTATTTGGATTATTGTTTAAAGACTGCAATTCTTTCAATTTGATTTCGTGATATTATATGTGGCGGAAAAGTCTTACAATTAAGGTCGTATCTGTAATTCCAGTAATCGCTAAAATAGCTTATACTTCTGAAGAAGAATGAACAGTCGACGACGATTATCAATGTTCATTTCTCTGATCATTTTCATAGCCGTCTTATCTTTGATTGCCGCAGCTTTATTTACTGATTACTGGTCCGAAAGTAGGCCTATCAATAGGAAATTTAACTCTGTAAATAACTATGTGAATTTGGGTCTTTTTAAAGGCAGCCGACAGCTAGATTGGGGGCTTGGTCCACGTCATAAGTCTTTTTCAGGTAACATTTTAGCATCAATATCTAAAAAGCAGAGTCACAGATATAAAAGTTTTTTCTGATTTTCTTTTTTTGTTAAAATTTAGTTACTTTTTTTCAGTTTACGAAGAATTACACGATAGAGTAGGTTTCGTTTCTAAAGTCTCATGGGTATTTATTCTATTTTCCTTGGCAATTGGAATTTTATGGAATGTAGTGGGTGCAGTGGTCGCACTTTTGAACACTGTCGCTAGAGAAACCGATACTATTGTCGGGCCGAAAGGAATTTATCTATGGAGCATTCTTGCTGGTGCATCAAAATTTTCTAATAATAAATTTGTTTTTAGTTTGTTGTATACAATAGCTACCGAATTTCTTTCGAATTTCAAATTATGGAGATTTGGAGGCGTATGAAAATTCGATTTTTCATAGATATTCCGTACTGAGACTCACCAAGGTCAATACGATATTCCCGCTGTTGTCACGCACTTCTTCGTTTCAGATTACTTATTCCAATTTTTAAGTCCATCATTTCCCGTAATTATATGTATATTTTGCAAAGGCCAGCTAGTTTTCTCTTTCCAGCTCATTTTTTCTTATCAATAGATGTAAAGTCCCTTTTTCCTCTAAAAGGAGAAGTCCGAATTTCATCCTAATAGTTGCAGCTCCAATTAACTAATCTTCTGTTCCTCCAACCATTCCAATTACTGTTCTAGCAAACAATTAACTTTACCACTCTAAATTCGTTTTTTTTTTGCCCTTACAGCGATGTCATATTCATCAGCGTTGATAATTTTCCTGGTACAATATGTGACAACAATTCAAAACAATGTTTTACTAAGTGAACACATTAGTAGTGGATTTTCAACGGAGAATCGTACAAGGTCATTGCTTGCTTGAATTCTAAAGTCTTAGCATCTTATTTTTCCGAATAATCGTGTGATATTGATTCAAGTCTTAAATAACACATACGTTCCATTTATCGTTTGTGTTCATTTCGAACAGGTTTGGTTCCAGGCTCAGTTTTTCATTCTACTTTGTCACAACTGCACTGGTACTTTTGCTCATCCCATGTTTACTGGTTTACGGAACATCAAACAAACGAAGCAGTGAAAGAGAGAAGCAGTTACGTGTGGATCATACTGTCTTTATGTACTAATATGTTTTATGTCCTTTCTTTAATGAGGATAAAAGTTTGTTCCAGTTGATATTCCGCTTTCTCAACTTTTGTTTGTCAATTAAAATTATAATAACTTCTGCACAAACCTACTGCACAATCTCTGCTCTCGAGGGATAAAAAGCAGAGGGAAAAAACAGTTGAAGTTTTTATTTCCAAAACATTGTTGCAAGCTTTCTCTCAGAAAGTCTAGAAGTAATAGCTGAGACCGAAGGTAAAAGCTTATTATATTTGCAACGTTGTTACAAAACTGAGATTATAGTTAACATAACACATGGGAACTTACGAAAAGACGAATATAAAATTTTTACAATAAATATAGAGCCTCCAATCATTCAAAGGTAAACCATAAGATGCGAACAAAATGAAATTTCTCATAAGATCATATGACCAGCAACTACTGATGATGAATCATGCAGATGCATCACGCGATGCAATTTAGAGTTAATAACCATGATGAAATGGATTTCATTCTGCAACCGAATGGATTAGTTATACTTCCCTATACTTTCACAGAGTTTTTGTACGTCATATGAATTTGCTTATTATACCCAAAATTCTTTGCCATTATTCCTTCGAGTGTTTAACTAGTGGTCCCTCCAGATCCATCCACTTTATAACTCATTCTTGACCTTTACAAGTAGCTCTTAATAATTATAAATCGTATGGAACAACATATTCGCACGTAATTCAGTAGTTTTAATTTGAACAATTATCGCTCTACAACGAAATGCTAGACAATCCTGGTGATATCAAAGATCCTTGTTATGTTATTTTTTCCTCTGATTTCAAAAACCATCACAGTTGGCTCTTCTTGACATTGTTCAGTAACTGACATCTACAATCTAATTTTTACTAACGTTTTATTATTTACAAACAAAAGTGATTTACTACGACTTAATAAGTTTAATGTTGTATTGTTTCTCACTTTAACTTACTCTATAACTTCTGAATGCTTTGGTGCTAAGTGGTCTAAGGTCGCAGCACTTTGACCACTGACCAACAGCTGCAACAGAAAATAGTGAAGCCTGGAAGGATCTTTTGCCTCTTAGTAACGGTCAGCAAATGCGTTCGTGTATCTATCTGATAGTTTCTAGCAGTTTTCTTCGTTTAATTATAGTTTCATTTGATACTCTATTTCCCATTTGTGGGTCTAATTCACTATTCCTCTTTTTATCATTCTATCAGACATTTTCTAATGATGAAATTTGTGGGTCAGGATTCCTAAGATTTCATATGAACACTTGCAGATTTCCTTTCTTCACTATATATTCATTTTTCTCATTAGTTTCAAAACAGTGTTAATTGAATCTGACAAAATAATACTGTCGGGAACAATGATATCATCGATATTTTAACTGAACGATTAGTAATGAGCTTTTCTTGTGGCAGTAAAATGTCCGCTGAAAAGATTGTTGTTGTTACGACGAAGTGATTCGAAGTGCCCGAAGATTACTATGCTGGAAAAGAAAATTGGTTAGTTATTGGAAGCATTGAAAGTCGTGAGAATTTCGAATGTTTCACCAAAAATTTTGGAATTCTTTTTGTTTGAATGTTCCACTAGAGTTTAAGAACTTCCATTTTGGACGTAAAATATAACGCAATAGAGTGTTGGCTGGAAGGCTCATACGGAATGAGGGAGTGAGGCACATTTAAGCACTAGCAGGAGAGTACTCGGTTTTTCTCATAACTGATTCATTTTCAGCGCGATGTAACTTTTCTTGGAATGGTCCTTCCCCTCTAACCTATCCATTCCTTCCTTTGCATATTGGCGAAAAAGTAAATGTTGCATGCAGTTGCGATGGTAAGTACGTTTTTAACTTTAAGTTTGTTCAGGTGGGCTAGTACAGCTTAGGTGAAATGGATAGGGAAATACGGTTTGAATTATTGCCCAGTAGTATCAGTTTCAGTTTTCCTGTTATTAACATTTCTATATTTGCATTCAAGACTTATTTAAAGTTCCATTTTTTTTATTCCATGAATAGAATAGTAGGAATAATAACAATAATCGTATTTCTAATAATAATAAGCAACATATACGAAGTTTATGTGGCTGTCATTTTCTCATTAATACATTTTAAATTAAAACTTTAAGTGTTCAAATTTGTAATTGTTTGGACTACTTCTGTAGTAAATATTCTTACTTGTAGAATTGTTTTTTTCTGTTGAGTATATTCTCTCCTATGCTATTTATGTAATCAATTACAGATTGGTCCTATGGCAGCAATCTGGATAACGGAAACAAATTTGGAATATTTCCGAGTAATGCAGTAATATCATTTAATGAATCGGCACCATTTATATCCAGTGAAGCAGTTGAGATTGTTAAAGAGCTCACTGATATTCTCAGTGAGTGGTGGAACACAATTAAGGTGTGATATGTTTTCGTAGCTTGTTATGTTTGACCCATACCTTATTTATAGCACTACCGTTCATTAAATATTATGCAATTTTAAGTACTGATAGATTACTTTCAAAAAACTAACTTAGAAGTGGAACCATTTAAATCGGTCTAAGTCATTTCGTTATAAGTTTTCATAACTGTTTAAAACCAGTCAAACTTTTGCTTCATATTTGAAACTTGTAAAATATTCGTAAATTTCAGAATACTTACTGTCATCAGGCAAGGATGGAATATCAGGATGAGGTGCTAGTGTACATGGAGGATCTAATGGTAATGCGCAAAAAAATACTTTCGGGTAATGTTCCCATTGAAGAACTGCGTGAAATGAGGTCAGAATTAGCTAGGAAAATCGATTTGGGCAATCAGTAAGTTAATTGTAATGTTGGTTTCCAATTTTGTTGATTGATGGTCACGCTTTTCTCGATCTTTTTTTAGTTCTTGCAATATGCAATATGGTTTGTATCCAAAGTATTATTCGACCTTTTTTAATTGCTTGCAACATGCTTCTGTGATTGTAGGTGGTTAGGTCTTGATCTGCTTATCAGAGATGATATGGGTAGGAAGATAGATAACGACACAACATCAGTGGTGCAAGTATACCGTGCTCATGTAGATGCTTCCAGTAGGATTCTAAACGATTCTGTATGTTTATGATTCCATGTGAATTGAAAAATAGTTCACATTACTTATCATACAAAGTGATTCTTTTTTTCTAGATTTAATTTCAAAAATATTTTTAAAAATTTCGATTTATAGTCGATGGGAACAAGCGAATTGTAGCTTCTATTTTTATCATTCAGAAACCTAATGATATACCTGGAGTAATTGCTTTTTCTCTACTGGTCCATGCTCTTTCCGCAACGGTTGACTCGAGAGCGGAGTGCGAATTCACATTATCCTTATATGATACTGCCGAAAAGAAGTTTATATCGTATGTTATCGTACAACTGTATTTACTATATAGTTTCTGAAAAGGAAAGTCATAAAATCGTTCTACTGTTGTCAATTCATTCAATAATTGCAGCGAAAATTTCGTATTTTATTGGAGTTTCTCCACGGGTAATTTGACGAATCGCAATAGTAAAGTCCTATTCACTGTAAGTTCCATCTTTGTTGACGTTAATTTTTTTGTTGATGTTTATTGTTGTCCAACAACGAGATCATATAAAATTCAGTTATGGTTTTGTTTTCTAGATTTTGAAAATATTCTATAATGTTATATCTGATGTGACAAAAAGTTCGTGACAGTATATTGATGGTCTATAACATGCAGATAATATTTTGAATTTCTTCGTAGGATCTTGGTCCAAATGAATATCCGTCTTCTTCACCATCAGCGGAAGCCCATCGCCTTCTTTTGTGTATTAGGGTCGCACGAATTGCTCCAATTGAACAGACGTCCTCAACTTTGAAGAAGTATGTTGACCCCGGTCCTTCTCATCTTTGGCCTCGACAACCATATGCTGCTGCAGTACTGGATCTGTCAAATTTTATAGGCGAATCTCATGGTTCTACTGAGCATATCATTTCTTTAAATCGGTAATGTTTTTTGCGAAGCAAAATTTCATGTTCTTACTGTGATAGTAGCCTCTCCTCTTATGGTAATAAAACTAAGCATGCAGAAGGTCTCTCCCAGTATTCATAGCATTTTAAAATATTTTACAGTGATGACAGCTTGGAGCAGCTAATAGCTCGAGCAAGTACTACGAGGACCAGCAATTCCGTAAGAGCAGTTGGCGGAGAAATATCTGGTAAAGAATACATTTTTATTTCTTTGAATACAGCATCTTGAAAAGAATAATGTGACTGCGTGGAACTGTTTGAATTCTATAAATTAACTTGCATCATACCAGCAATTTTTGACCGAATTTTAGCGTTTGGACGAGCGCAGCTAATGATTTCAACAGAAGTCCTTCTTGGTTCTCTGATCCAAATTAAAAAGATATATCCTCAGATTTTTTCAAGTAATCCACCATTCGAGTTGAGAAGATTATCGTTTGCAGATGTTATTTCGGCAGGTGTAAAGTTTTATTCGTTTTTCTAATTGATATTATAGGTTGCGTTTTCTTTGGTTTTTCAATTTCAGATAGTCCAAATGTAAGTACTTAACTCCACAGTGTATTGAATTGTAATTTTAAGGTGTTAAAATATTAACTACAGATGATATTCGAAATGATTTGTATGTTACATTGCTACAAGGTGATTTACACGGTGGTAAAGGGTCCGACAAAAATATTGAAGTACGAATAACAGTCGTTGATGCAAAAGGAGTAGTTGAAAATGTAATTTTCAAACATTTGTAGCTGATTAAAGTAAGTCGGCGACACAAAACCTGTAATGAATAAAAGAAATTTCTTTTCATCACAAGGTGTAATTTGCGTGTTATACTTAGTACCAAAAATTTATCATTCTTTAGAGTATCGTTGTGATCACTGCAGACGGGATACGTTGGAGCACAACATACCAAAGTCTGGTTTTTTATCATGATGACAAACCAAAGTGGAACGAATCTATCAAAGTAAATTGGGATATAATTTTGTAAATATTTATTAGGTGCTAATTTAGAGAAAATTTGATTTATTGCATATAATGCCAAATCGGCTTATGATAATCAATTTTACGCTGAGGACAACTTCTTATAAATACAGTACAACATATTTGTAATTTCTGTTCGTCATAGGTACAGATTCCGGAGAATATTGACCAAAATATACATCTTCGAATGACTTTTCATCACAAAAAGACATCTGATAAAACTAAGCAAGAAAAGGGACCTTTCGCATTGTCATTTGTGCGCATTATGGAAGATGCAACTTTGATCAGGGATGGTTTGCATGAATTACTAATTTACAAGGTTATTGTATAACCTGTGTTTTCATGAATTATGTTTATATCATTTTCTAATGAATAAAAGTTTTATTAATATTTTCCACATTTTCTACTGAAATTTATTCCAACCATCTTTTTTTTTAAAAAAGAAATTTAGGTTGAAACGGGACGTTTTGACGACAGTGACACCAGTTATACTCGGTTGCCTGCCACACGAGGAGAGCTTAAAGCTTCTCATTCTCAGTTAAGACCCCAAACAACAACCTTCATTTATTGCGAAAAGAATTTTCTAACCATTGAAACAGTAACTTGCTCGACAACGTTAACTCATAGCAAGAGTTTGTTGGATATACTTAGATGGAAACAAAACAGGTTTGTAGGGTATTCTTATGGGTCAATATTAAATTTAGAATTTTGAAGTGGAAATATTTCTAATGTTAACATGTATTGACTGTTGTTATAGTTGTTTTTTCAGAAGCAACTTAAAAGAAAGGCTGGAAGAAATTTCGAGGCCGAAATTTCTATCAATTGGTGAAGAATTGGTAAAATTCATTGCGAACTTTTGCGACGCTCTTTTTGAAATTTTAGATCATTACCCAGATTACGATGGCTTGGTTTTTGATGATTTGGTAAGTTTTTTCTCTTTCTTTATTTCAGTGAACTAAAATCTTGAATCAGCTTTGTAAGTGTTTGATGGTAGGTTTTTGCACCATTTTATAAACTTTATTTTCAATATTTTGTTTTTTAATTCCTTGTATTTTCCATGGAACATTGAAGTACTTTTGTTTTCACTTGGTAATGTATATTTCTTTTCTAGGTCACTCTAGTGCAATTGGTAAATGAGGAGCGGTACAAGAATTTCCGTCCAGTACTTGACAAATATGTGGAGAATTTTCATTCCACTGTAGCATTTTTGTATGTCCTAAACTATCAGCGAAATTTAAAATAGTGAAGATATGAAATATTTGTTATCCTCATTATCGACTTCAGTTTTGTAATATTTTTTTTAGTAAGAATTTTGGTTAATTTAGTACTAACAACCGTTTTTCAACAAAGTGTTTTGAGATCAAGTGGGAGCATTTACAATAAAATTAAATATGACGAGGATTTTTTGTTTAGAAAGTTGTTACCAGTTCTTCGTGAAAGAATTGAAAATGCAGAGGATACACATGAAAGATCACTGAATACGATGAAAAGTCTTGGCACCCTTATCAGATTGGCTGTTAGATCAAAATTATGCAGTGACAGGTAGCTTCTCAGTTTTGTAAAAAAGGATATATTTAATGAAAGTATGAAAAATTCAAATATTTAAAGTACCAGTATCGGGTTTCAGGCTTGTTTGAAGATTTTACTAAGTTTAAATTTATAGACTTGGTATGACGTCAAATAATTTTCAACTTTTGATCAGTGAACTGCTGGAAGCATTTATCGTATTTATGCAAAATAAACGAGTACGTATGACTTGTCAAAATATGGCGTTGAAACATATACCAGCAGTTATTCCACATCTTGCATGCTATGGTGTTTATAACAACAGTGATCTCACGTAAACTTTTAAATTGATATTAAATGGATGTATTGCGGAAAAAGTTTCTCCGTTAATTTTCTATATTATTCAGATATGCATTTCGAGTGCTCCTTTTGGTCTTAAATCCACCAAAACTTCTAACTTGCCTCGAGTAGCTTTGCAATGGTAACTCTGTCTGAGAAAGGTTCACTTAATGTGAATATTTGGTTAACATAATATTATTAATTTAAGGGATTTCCTGGCACGATTAATGGATCATCTTGGTGAAAACATAAGCTCAAGGTGCCGTTTAAATTTTCTTAAGGACATAGTGCAAACAGATTACTTCATCCAAGAAATAAACCGAAAGAAGCTATTGCCGAAGGTTACTAGTTAATTTTTTTCGGTACCTTAGTGTCTTCTGCATTCTCTCAATTTGACATCCCTGACTGACTAAAGAAATATGATCTCTTGTATGCCATATTATTTTCTTCTTGATTACCGACTTGTCCTGGGTATGAAAAAACCTCTGATATTATTTCACAATTTACTGAAGAATAAATTTTAAACGCTATTGCACATTATTATTCTCATCGGAATTATTAGTGATCATTAATTGTTCTTTTTAGTCAAGTGTTAAGAATATCGACGTTAACCTTGAGAATACTGAATATAATTTTGGAATTACTAATTGCATTCAATTTCTTCATTTGTTAATATTTGTTGAATATATTATCCGAAATGGAATTATTTTATATGCTAATTATCTCGTGATTACGTGATCGCAATACAGTGTGTTGTGTACATAACACCGTATTCTGATTGTCATTAATTCCACGATTTTAAACTTATCTTCGTTGTTGAGCAGTTTTCCTCATCATAAAGCTATCACCTAAGTTGTTGTTATTTGAACATACAATACATGCACACACACACACACACATACAAACATGTCATCTTCCATAGTTTTATTAATTTACCGTGTTATTATTGTGGTTTTCTAGGTCATTGAAAAAGTGGTGGAAGAACTCGAGACTTCTGACTTCGTCCATTTGCAAGACATTGTGTGTGATCAGTCCAAGATGGAAGAATGTATTTCGGCGAGTGCCGATATAATGTTTTATATCATTGAACGCCTCTTTTGCTCTACGGTCTATTAAATTCATTTGAAATTGAGAATCTTATTTAGTCCATAATATTCATGCGAGAAGTTCAGAAAATTTCTCCGTACTCTTCATTTTGCGCTACTTTTTTAGGATCCTATTCATGAACAAGGAAGTGAAGATGAACTTTATCTCATTGTATGGAAATCATTTCGTACCATAATTCAAACGACAATCGTTTTGATCAATGCAAAATATTCTGCTGTATGTATGCTGAAATAATTTACAATTTTCTTTTACTTTAAAAATCCAGCCCAAATTTTATAAGTTAAAAAATTTCCAACAATTTTTTATATTTGCTGAAAAACTTATATTATTTCAGTCTGTGTTCTGCGCGCTTACAATTGTAGTTCTCAGCAAACTGTCGGCACAAATGTATAAAATGTACCTGGAAAGTCACACTACCTATATTGATAAACATGATTTATTGATGGAACTTGTTCATTTGTTTCGTGATCTCATCAACAAGTCACCATTCCCGTGTTCATGGTTCCAGATGATACTATTGCAGGATAGGCATGGTTTCCTTTCGTTTAGAAGATTTTAAGATACGAAGTTTATTTACTAAAGGAAAAATGATAAATTGCAATGGATTATCTTGCTGTATTTCAAAATTTTTAACACGTTTTTACTTCTAAAAAATATTGTCTCAGCGGTAGGCACGACAATCAACGTAATATATTTCTCCAAAATGGATTGGGTGAGCATAAGTCGACAAAATTTGCTACTTTCTTAAAGATATGTTTTTTGAGTTCTTTTATGGATTTCTACATTTTATCATTTTTTCTCAGAATGATTTTGAAAACAATGAAATTTATCATGTCGACAATTGTTGAACACTTTCATGACGATCAGTTCAATGCTGAAGTTTGTTCAGTTTTCCATCATCGTTTGCATATATGCAATTTGTTTGTAATTTATTTTCTTCTTGTTTCATTTTTTGTATAGTTCTTGAACTTTTGATGTTTCTTATTTAGCTTTGGAGAGAATACATGCTGACGATGGTCACTTTTTGCACACAAAAAGCTCTTCAGTTGGGTTCATCAGTTAGTGAAAGGCGGTCGCGACTTCTATCATGCCAGCCGGATTTGAGAAGAATAGCAGTTGCGGATTTGCGCTCTATGTGGTTTAGATTATCGAGTTAGGCATATCGATTTGAACACTTCTATACATGTTTAACTATTTAATATTTATATTAAATGAAGAATACTCTGTCGTATTTTACAGTGGCCCAAAAGATTCTGTTTGTACCGTCTATGATTGGTTCTTATCTTCGGGTGGCTCTGATTGACGATGATGTTGTACGTGAAACTATTATACCTATATTTTTCGATATGCTTCAATGTGAATTCCATTTATCACCACTGCGCAGTTTCTCCAAAGTAGAGTTTTTCTAATTTTCTATCTGGTAAAATTTGATATAGTTTTTACATATTGTCATTTATTACCTTTTTTCACGATATTGTTCCACTGAAGAATCATATTATAGTTTGCAAACGAGACTATAATGCAGCTGGATTGTCTGGTTGATGAGGACTGTGGTGGACAAAAATTCAAGGAGCAACTGCATAATATCATGATGGATATGTGAGTATCATTTTCTAGTTTCAGAGGAAAACTTTGCAGAAACCATCCAAGATATTGGAATCGTCTCAAGACTTTCAGGAGCCGTTCAGATACGGATCTTGTTGTAGAAGGTTGTAAATTTGTGGCTTTAGTTGATACTCTTCTACAACATCTTTTTGAATATCGTGAAGTACGAACAAATGGTTACTGTATAGAAAACGGAATGGATCGAACTGTTGAATTGTTGGTGAGTTTTTTTTCTTTTCTTTTTTCGATTTTTTGTTTTGTTTTGTTCGTTTATTTATTTTTTTTTTTTTTTTAATATTTCATATGACTTTTTACATTTGAAAATCCTGCAGTTTGATGAGTTAAAATATCTGTTCTTTTATTTCAAATTTTTAAAATTTCAGAAGTTTTATAAACTTATTGGTCATGATGACCTTTATATCAACTATGTTTATAAGCTTTATGATCTGCACATGCTCAGCAACAATAAAATTGAGGCAGCTTTTACACTTCTGAAGCATGCTGAAACATTGTCGATAAGTTCTTTTGAAATTTCATTCTTTTTATTTTAAATAGCGAGGACAACAGCAGTTTAAATTTTCATATTCAATAGTGATTTAGGAGGCAAATTAAACTGTGTTTATTTGGACCAGTATCTTAATGAACTTAATTAAGACCAAATTAAGAGTTAAGTTGGTTTCCATATCATCATATCTTATAAAATCCAAATTTAGTGGGCAGAGTGTGAATTGTCACCCGCTCTTTTGGATGCACATTTAAATCGGCATTGTGGTACTCAGCGTCAGCTCAAAGAAGCACTTTATAACGAAGCGGCTAATCTCTTCGATGAAAAAGAATTGTGGGAAGAATCTATCGGCATTTTGAAAGAACTGACATTTCAATATGAAAAGAATTATGAGTACGAAAAATTACCAAGCCTTCTCGTAAGTTTTTTTTTTTTTTTCTATACCAGAATATTCATTTTTAATCTTTTGTCATTTCAATCTTTTAAAGTTATAGTTTCAAGTCTCCGAAATTTGAAACTTCCCTTTTTTTAATTTCACAATTTTATATAAACTGAAGCATATCTTTTAGCAACGTCTAGCTGAATTATATCATAAAGTGAGTACACAAGGACGAGTCGCATGCACGTATTTCTTCGTTGGATTTTATGGCCTCAATTTTCCTAGTTATTTAAATAATCGGCAATTCATCTATCGTGGAAATGAATGCGAAGTCAGTTTTGAATTGCTTTCTAAGTACTTTAGTTTTGGGTTTATTGGATATTTCTGATTGTTTACATACTTTGCCGTTAACGAATTGCTTGCATTTAGGCCACTGTCAGCTTTCGGCATCGAATGCTGTCAACCTTTCCCGGTGCTCAGTTAGTTAATACAATGGATGAATGTTCGCATCTTTCAAAGCACGACAACAAATTTTTGCAGATTTTCCCCGTGAAACCTCTTTTTGAAAGCTGCTGGGAAAAAAAATGTAGCAATCGTTTAATTCGATGGTATTTCAAAAACAACAGGGTATTTAATCTCTTTATATCAAAAATGGATGATTTATAATGATTGTTGATCATAATTGTTGTAACAATATCGCATTACTTTGGAAGTTCTTTTATTCATCTGATTTGGTAGTATCACACGTGATGTAAAGTGTTGATGTCTGACCCATCGTGCTTTTTCATTGAGAGCTAAATCATTTCTTTGATTAAGATTTTCAGGTACAAAAATTTGAATTTTATAAAGGGGAAATCCGAAAAGGAACAAAATGGACAGAACTGGAAGATAATGAAATCATGCGCTCGTGGGTAATTCGACGATCAGTTTCTATCGAAGAACAATTGCCTAACATATTACGTTGGTCACAGATTACAAATTTTTCTGACCCAGTAAGTTTAAGTTACATTAATTATTGTACGATGAATCTTCACGTTTCATAGGTGAATGACTGTACTTCTTTTCACAGATTGAGTGTTCTCCACTAATGGAAGCTGTGACAACAATGAGGAAAAACAATGAAGAAATGGAAGAAATGGCACATTTGGTCCTTTCTACACCATTAGAATCAGTTGTTCCATTGGGAGGCAAAATCCGTGGGATCGTACAGGCGTTTGTACAAGGGGGAATTAAAAATTATAAAGTTTGATTTCAATATTCTAACTATTTTTTGTTTATATTTGGGTTTTTAAACCTCATAAATTTAAGTGTGAATTTCCTTGCTTTAGATATTTTTTTCTGATCGATGTGGTTCAATTTTAACATCAGAAGAACATGAGCTTGTGCATCAGCTGAGGGCATTAATCAGAAACCAGGTTAATTTTTGAAATTTTCTGCATTTCCAAGACTTGCATTTGTAGTGGTCAACTCTGATTAGCTTTCAGGTGCCAATTTTGGAGTTTTGCTTATATGTACATGCTTCCCGTGACCATCAAGTGAATGTCCAGTTTCATGAATCCCTTGTAGCTTCTTTTTACGAATATAAAGCAAACATTGAAAAACAGTTTGGAAAAGTGGTAAAGTTTATGAAATTCTGTATTCTACATGATTGAATATAATCTGTTTCAAGCATATCCGTGTAACGCATTAGTAAGCAGAAATGAATGTAGATAGCTCAGGGCAGAAGGCTTGCTTGATTTTATATACCTTTGAATCTTTGAGCTTGACTTTCTGTAGCATGTCTTTGAATGAACATCTCTCTGAAAAATAACAGCTATTTTCTGTTTGTCATATTATATCCCTATTAATCCTTATAATTAAGGCCTCGCAGCTGCCGCCGGGTTGCTCCATCCATCTTTCACAACAGAAAGGAGATGAACGTAGAGCAAGCAGCTTTGAAATCCCAAGGTCGACATTGTTCAAATTTTCCGTTGGTTTTTGTAGATATGTAATGATGACTTTTTTTCGTCATATTTTTTGTATTACTTTTGTCTTTTAGTACTCCATCTGTTATGAGTGTATTTAAAAGAGGTGGTGGAGGTACGAAAAGTGGAAGGACAACAACTACTAGGAAATCAAGTGGTCTAAAATCAGATTTGAAAAGTGCCTTCGAGAATGGGTGAGCGAGTTTTGTAATCCTTATAAATAAGTTAACATTTCGTTACAAATTATAATTTTCATCGGGAATTGAAACGTGAAATATTTTGTACTACTTAATTACTGTTTAACACATCATGATCATAATAGATATTGTTCAGAATAGCCAAACGAATCTCATCGTCATCCGACCGCAGTTTTGACTGCAATTCCAATGAAAATAGTTCCACTTCTCGATCAACATTTGATTTTACACGTTTTGAGCATCCGTTGAAATCAGTCTCCTCGTCATCCTTGCAAATAACAGAAGATGATGCAACTATTAAATCGGTTAAGCCAGTCGAGAGGTACATTAATACACTAGCTTCTTAATTAGCTATATCTCTCAAATTTCAAAAAAAAAATGTATTTTTAAGTTTTTTATTTTGCAGCTGACTGCTATTACTACACATCGTTTAAGGATTATCATTTATCACTCACATTATGCTTTTTTATACGCTCTGAATGCAGTGTCGTCGTTTGAATGTATGAAATTCACTGGCTTAAAATAGTTTAAAAAGTATTTCTACTTCAGACTCACTGATACTCAAACTATACCACCTCCGTTACCTCCGCGATGTACGAAAATATCACTTTTGGTTCCTCAGCATCTCAGTACCGTTTCATTTCCGGTGGAAACTTCTCATCACAACATATAAACTAGAACACTTGCTACAGTTGGGTTCGGGACGAATCGATTTTTTTTTTTTTTTTCGTGATTTTAAGTCTTTATACAAATTTTAGATTTTGACGCTTCACTTATAATCAAAAAAATCAGTTTCAGTGTGACTCCGTTGTTTGGATATGAAGGGCAAAAAAAAAACTTCCAGTCCATTTAAAGGAAAATTTTGAAGTCATGTTATAGATCAGTTGAGATTGCGAATAAAATAATAAGCTTCAGTTTTCTAAGAAAGTGAGTACGTGACCATGATGTAATTAATCCTTTAAAAAATGCCTTACTTCAAATTGTTTCTTATTAATACATAATTTTAATTCATGTAGCCTTTTCGAAAAAGTTTTTTACGCATGTCTTACATCTGATCTTACTGCGATATATTGTCGGGTATTTTTGAAAAAATATTCAGTTTGTGCTTTATATATAATATTTCTTACTGCGCACATTTGTATTCGATTTTTTTTTTCATTTTTTCGAGATAACAGATTCGTTTAAGTTAGTCTGATAAGTCTAGAATAAATGTTTCGATATATCTGATCTTTTCTTAGAATTTGGTGTGAAATTTCAAGCACTTATTTTCTTTGTCTTAGATTTCTCCATTTCAACTCTTTTAATCTCATACACTTAGTCTTTGCTCTTGCTGTCTTCCACATCTCGAAATTTCGAACTCCTTTAATTTGATGAGGATCGTAAAATATGAAATGTCTTTGTTGTGTTCGACGTTTTCTTGTTCATATTTGACGCAGTGAAATGCTTTTATATAAATGAATTCAGAATTGATGTTGCTTGCCATCTCTTATTGTTAAAAAGTTCAAATGGGGATCTGATTTTGAATGTTTGAAGATAGTGGAACTAATTTATTGTTTAGCAAAATATACAGGACGGACAACTTTGGTTTTGTTTTGACATGAGATAGTGTTCTTGTTTAGAGAATATATGCTATTTCACCATTTCTTAAAAATGTAACCCTTACAGCCAGCTTCGCGATTTTGAGAAAAGACGTCTTATTTCTTCATTCGCATTTTCTAGATTTTGTTTCATATTGGATATAGCTTTTTCAATATCTAATTTTATATTGGTTTTATTCCTGTCCACCTTACGTTCCTCGAGCAAGATGATGTTACCATTCAGAAATTCAAGGGGAGTTTCAGTTTCGTTGCTTGATTCCGTTGGTCTTTTAATTATTTGTTGGATATTGTTGATAAAATTACGTGGCACATTGGTAGTCTCTTCTGCTATGTTATTATGTTGATCAGCAGGTAGCAGTGAAGGTGATCCAGGTTTTTGCTCATTTGCTGCATCGTAGTATATTTGGATTTCATTTCGATTTATTTGTTCCTCACTTATATTTGATTTTATGTTTTTGCTTATTTCGTTTGACATGATTGTTGCATTGTTGTCCAAGTTAGATACGTTTTGTATGCGTTCGGTAAATATACTTTGCAATTTTTTCCCAAGTAGTTCATAAATTTCACCCTCGTTAACTTCCGACCGTTTTGCTAGTTCTTCCTTTCTATATATTTCCGTTCTATTGAGTTCTGCCGTACCATACGTGTGATCTATAACAGGTCTTCCGTCAACCTTTTGCAACACAATTCCTGTATTTTCCTTATATGGAACAACGCTGTTAATATCACTTTCATGTGCAGGTGTATTGCTTATATCGTGTACTTCGTGGATACTATCATCGAATTGTTGTTGATCATTCATCTTTTGTAATACCCGTTTGTTTTCGACTACATTATGCTTACTCGGTTCTTTGCTACTTTTGGCATGTAGTGTCTCCTTGAGGCGTTCTACCAGAGTCTTGTTAGTGTCGTTATTATCAAGCAGTGCGCGCAAGTCCGAGCTTTTTTCTTGTTTAAGAAACAAATTTAGATTTCGAAAGATATCACCGAATTGTTCGTACCATGTTCGCGAATCTTTTTGTGCTGTTTCATTTTCATCGCAGAGCTCACTCGATTGTTGGGATTTCTGTTTCAGTGGATTTAACGAGCTGATTAAACCATTTTCTTTTCCATTATTTAGAGGCACATCGTCATTGTTCTTGATGTTTTCCTTACGCACTGTCGATTTCCATTTTGCGGTAAAATTCTTCGATTGGAGTTCATGCTTATTTCCAGTACTAGTTTCATTTTTTGCTACTTTTCGCTTCTCTTTTTCCATCTGTTTGGTGGCAAAATCTACGTCAATTCCTTCGACATCCGAATCTGCAGTTGTTAAAGTTTTTTCCGCAATAATTTTCTGGCCGCCTGAAAAGCTGTCTTCCTTGTCTTCGCCGACGACATTTTCTTTTTTTCCGCTAATGGGTGATAGATCCTGCAGTAAATTAGGAATTCAAAAACTTCCGTAGTTTTCAAGATTTTTTTCCCAGAATTTTGTCCTGATTGCAGTTTAAGAATTTTATCTCGAAAGGAAGGATGTATTGTTCATTAGAAGGAATTCAGATTGTGTTAAAGGTTTTAACCATTTCCTTCTATCTTGACTTTTCGACCTATGATTGATAAGGAATAGCATAGGTTGGGGTGATAAGTATCATTTTCAGTGTTACAGTATGCATCCGATAATTCAGATAAATTCCCATTCTTTCACCACAGAGAATAGCTAGATGTACAAATACTAAACTAAAAAATACTAATAAAAAGATTCACTCAGACCAAATATGTTTGCGAAAAGGAAATTCACTTACTTCAACCTTTCCTTGAACATTCGCAGTTTGCGTTCTCACTCCTTGCAGTTGTACTGTTCGTGGTTGTGATTTTACTAGTGTATCCTTTCTTAGCTCATTTATCCACTGCGCAAAGAACTCGTAAAACGGATTGTTTTTCCTTTCATGCTAGAATGTTTTCTAAATTTTCAGTTTCGATTTCTTGGAAAATTAAGTTGTCAAAAGGTGTATTAGGCTTCTTAGTTGCTTTAGATTGCTTCTTCGAAATAGCCGGGATCAGTTCTTTCCGAACATTTGTATTGAAAGCTTTATTTTCTTAAATAATATTCTATAATTACGGGTAGTATAGCGGAAAAATTGCTGAATTTCAAAATTTAGAAGGATTTTCTGAAATTAGGAAGAATGCTGAATGTCTTGAATAGGAGTTTTTCCAAATTAATGAAGTAGAGGAATATAGCATAAGCATGATAAGGGTTATTCCTTACAAATTTCATGATCTTTTTTTGCTGGTTAAATCAGTTAAAAATTGCAGTTAAAAATTTTAAGCTTCAGTTAAACGTTGCAGTAATTTCATTAGCACGAAACCTTATGAACTATTAGAATATTTGGAATGCAGTCGTTCGTTTAAACGATCAGAGTATAATGTTTCAAATTATGAACTAACAACGAACCTCGCGATGCTGTTCATCATTTCGCTGACAGATGAACCGGTTGGTATAGTCGAAATCTGGTCTTTGGTCACAGGGTATGGCTTTTAACATCCTGTTATCAATGCTCAGCAATGCACATCGGCCACGTTCTGTAGGATCCAGCGCTTTCTCCGTAGTATTTCTTACCAAGATTTCCCACTCTCTAAATTGAAATGCTAAGTTTTGGAATTACATCCCGAATTTTGGTCTACTATATTGGAATTTTAGTAGCACTATATATAGCTAACAAATAGGTAGCATTCAGCGGCGTATTATCGACCCATTTCCACTCCTTTTCAGCACTATTTTCTTTGTCAACTAGCACAAGTCCAATTTGTATGGTCCTTTCAGGCATTATTGAATTACGGAGTGGATAATGTGATATTAACCAATTCTGAAATGAGGACCAACTATTGTTTAGCTTCGAGAAATTTATTAGAAATTATTCCTGGTGATTCAGCTAACCATACATTTCAAATGTCATAGGATTCTCTATGTCAGCTCTGTTATACTTTTTCAGTGTTCCGAGATAGTTTTTCTGCTTGTCAACTAATGCTAGTAACTTTTGATCAGCTAGTATGAGTCCTCATTTCTCTTATAGTAGTTTCATAAACTGTTTGTTAGAATAAAAAAGAACATACTATCTGTTGTAAGCTCTTAATAACAACGAGATCGGAAGCTAGAGCAAGGCAGTATTCTCGAGCTGTATTCCAGGATTGTTCACTGAGATGAAATTGGTAATGATATCCTTCGGAATCAGCAATCCAGGAAGTGCCGTAATTTTGAACTGGCGAAATAAACTGGAAATTAAATAAGAAATTGGTTTCTCTTGTTTCTTGCAAATTCAGTATATTATTATGTATGATCTGTTCAGGATTGTATTTTCACTTTTCATTTTATTTAATGAATTAAATTTTAGTTTTATAGTCAGAAATTCTTTTTATTACTAACAAATAACATTAGCTCTACTTTACCATTATTTTTGACTGAAATCAAGATTTAAAGAAAACCAATATTTTCGGTTCATAGAGAACTGGTTTGATAAATTCTTTAAGTTTTGGAAGATTTTTATACCAAAATTTTCAGCTAGGATTCACACTAAGGTATTTTCTAAGGAGTGGCTTTGATAATTGAGATTTTTGCGAAGAATCTCTTGAGATTAATGAGTAACCTAAATTTAATCTGGTAATTAATAAGTACCTAAATATAATTTAGTTGTTTGTAGAGGTCTCAGAAATTGTTTGGAAATATTTAGCATTGGCATATTTTACTAAGATGGCAATACTAAACTGTTTATTTCAATGCATTGTTAAGAATTTTGAAAAGCAAACAATAAAATGTTTGGAAAGTCAGTTAATGGTATTCATGGATCTCTTTATGCTTCAATTACTTTTAATCCTATTTTTGTGTGAATTGAATCTGGTCCATTAATTTATGTTTAATAGACTGTACAGACATACTATTTGCCGCGCTTTTACCGTCGAATGTGAACCAACAATCTGCGCCAAAAGTGTGACAATAGCAACTGAAATATTAGTATCATGAAAGCAAGGATTTGGTGTTTTCTCAAATAACTTGTTTAAAAGATAAGAAGTAAATACCTATTAATCGTACGAACCACCATCT